CACTGTCCCAAAGGTTGGAGTAGAAGCTTAGGCCCACTTTTAGCTCAAACTCGAACAAACGGATTGAACAAACGGCTGCAGTGAAACATACATCTATACAAGCTATATCATGTACATGTAACTGGTGCTACATCTGATCAATAATAACTATGCACATATTATATATATAGGATATAGGATGCTATTAGGTGGAGGCCATCGCTACTACTAACAGGAAGCCACTGGTTATATATATATAATTCTATTGGTGTTCCATCTAAAATGTCTTCATGGATCCTTCCATGAGATTAGTTGATGAACACACACAAAATACATTTTTGAAAACCGCTGGAAAGATATGGAAAGAAATATCAGAACACATGCATTTCAGGAATGCACGAACGCAGAACAAAGATTCATACTTTTAGAAATGATTGGACGTTTGTTGCCTGCTGGTGGCAACAAATGATGACGTGTCACTTCATTTGCCTGCTGCATTGGACAGCTGACTCGCCAAATGAATCTACTGCTTGCAGCTTTTAGTACCATTCCGGAGAATTAGAATTGAGGAATCCGTGTGCATGTGAAGTGAACCCCGCCATTGGCCATTGGCCACCAAGCACGAGGGGTCAAGGTGAAGGAGTCCTCCAATCACACTTTCACTGTGCATGCTGCATGCACTCACTGTTTTTCGTCTGCGGACTCTAGGTCTTTGGGATACCTGTTGCTGAAAGAGAACAATCTGACTCTGCAATGTCTCACAGGCTTGAGGATAGCAAATGATAGCGAAGATGCGAGGCAGTCTTCATCAGATGCCGCTTGAACGGACTCAAACGTACTCTGGGTAGAGGCTAAAGACATCCCGCCGCGGGAGCCAATCTTTCACCTCATCCAGCGCCTTCTGTGTTTGAGCGTTTGGCCGCGCCCTGAGTGCTTTCCTCAGGCGACGGACGGACACGGAAACACACGAATTCATCGTTTGCCCAAATTTACCTGTATCATCATCCTGTATCCAACATACGAGTACATAGTAACGGCCCCTTGGAAGATTACATGGTTGCCAGTGTTTCTTGGAGGCAGGGTGCTTGAGCAGAACTGCAAATCCCACTAGTTCAAAACAGCGTTGTGACTTGGGATGAGTTGCAGAAAGCACCTGCCAGCATCTTTCATGATCTCGTTACTGTCCTGCAGCTCAGATGTCACAGTGGAAGACACGCCAACAAGCATCCGGCTGTGAGTCAAGTACCTGGAAGCCTGTCCGCAGTAGACACTGAAAAAGAACAAGATGATATCCAACTCTCGCTAAGGTACTCGAAGGTACTTTACCCATTGGCTGTTTCAGCCATCGCAAAAACAACGGCCACAAGTCACTGCTCGAACGCGCTTGGATCGCTGAAAAAATTCAACTCCTTCTACCATATCGTGCACATTGGGGTAGCGCAGCTTAGCAGAAAGGTAAGGTTCTCTTCTGAGAAAATATCGTCATTCTCCCGCTGAGCATAACCCAAACACTCCATGTATGGATTTCTTTTAAACCAACATTCACCCCTGAAACCACCCCAATATAAGTAAATATGCCCCCCATGGGCTGTGTTGGCAATATCTTCCCTTTCCCACTCGACTCAGACTACTTTCAGATAGTCCCGACGCCAATTGTTTTCTCCCAGCAACGGCCCCAGAGTCACAGTTGTTCCCAAGGTCCACCCGTCACGGACTCGCCGGTGGGTGGCCTCCTTCAGCACCAAAAAGGTTTCGGCCTTGGCCGACTCCGCGGTGAGCTTCCGAGCCAAGCCCAGGCGGTAGAGGCTCCGATCATCGCACCAGACGAGGCAGGCCTTCTCAGCACATTCTTCCGCCTGCTTCAAGGCTTGGCGCTTGAAATACTCGAAATGTTCCTGGCGACCGCGGCCTCCGCCGGAGGGTGGAAAACACCATGGGTCCAGTGTGTTTTGTAGATATACGGTCATCGGCTCACTAACATGGAAGTGGAAAACCATGTGTTTCGAAAGGAACATGGTCTTCCAAGGGCCAATGTTCCACTTCCATGGTAGAGAGTCGGAGTGTAATTGATTACCGTTCTATTCTTTTTTCTGGATGTCGTGTTTCCAAGTACGGAATCCATTCAAAATTGGTCTTGGGGACTTCCGCCCATCCCACAAATCTCCCGGTTTCCCTTCATCCCCACAGAACTCCAGGTCCTTCTCGTGAAACTGTGAAGAGAAAGGCGTCCCGTCCGGAAGCACACCTTTGCCCTGCGCCATATCTAAAATGCACTGCGCACGGTTGGAGAGGCAATCCGCCAGCAACTGCTCCTCCCTGTCTTGCCCAGAAATGGATCGCGGACGTCCGTGTGCTTGGGGCTTCTCAACCTGAAAGTTGGACGGGAAGATCCTCAACGCATGAATAAGTGATAAAAGGAAGTCATCAAGTATACTTTCCCAACTCATCTTTAAACGCGTATCCCGTATCACAGTCTGTTGGCAGAAATCAGGTGCTTTCCAAGCAGGCATGCTGGCATGGTCACCCAAGAACCAACGGTCACCAACGTGTCATTTTCGCAATCACCGAATGAAAAAAGACGTTGGATCCTGCCTCTGTTTCGATGGCATGGAACACTTGCCCTCCAATGTAAACTCCGATCAAACCTCTACACACCACCTCCGTGACCTTCGTGACCCAACCACCGGACCAACTAACTCATGGAACGTGACCGTTTCGGACGGTTTCGACTGCTTCGATGACCCGTTGACCAGATGAAGGGCTGTTTACCAAAACCAACCCATCAAAACAAAGCACCAAAACCACCGAACTGTCGATGCTCTGGCCTACTGTCGGAGACTTCTAAATGGAACTGATGGCTTTTTGGATGTATCAATCCCCCTCAAACCAATGAAGGCAACAGGAACAACACTGTGCATAATTTTCGGGTCTTGCTTTTGGAACCACTTGGCCATAAGCAAAGCACACCCCTTGTACATTGTACAACCTGTCACAAGTATATATAGAAAAACATATCACAAGAGTGTCTCTCTTGGGCGGATTAGAGAAAGGAAATCGTGGACCAGCAATCCCTTCACAACCAGTTCACATAGATACCAAGTCACCATCAGCCCCCGCTGGTTGGTAAAAATAAGTTGTTCCACAATGGTGGGGTGAGACGCTATATTTCATTTATCTACATTTGGGGCACATCTCCCAACATGTTCCCCAAAAAACCCTCAAACCGTCCCCCACGCCAAACACATCGAAATTCCTCGAGCAGGGTGACCATTTGGATCACCTCGCCATAGGCTTCATCAGCGCCGATCAGATCGTTCCGCTTGTAGGACTCAATGGCATCCTCCCTTCGCTCCATGGCAAACTGAATGCGCTGATCATGCGCACGCATTTCAGCTTTGGAATCCGAAAGGGATCGAAAAGGAAACGAAGGGAGCAGAGGATCCCTTTGTTGGAACACTGGGGTACCAAAATGCCCAAAGTAGAATATGTACACTACAGTACTCATTATGCAGGGTCATGTTCCATGTCCTTGTTTGAAGGGTGCAATATGTCACTTCTCGGTCGGTGGGGCCACTTCAGAACGACACGTTGGTGGCAAAGGCGTCTGGACGTCCATCCATTGAGGGCCCCGGTGTAGAGGCTTGTGAGTTCGAGCCTTCTGAAGTAATTACAGTAATTGACTTAGAAAGAACACCAACAAGTTGGTCATTGTGTGTGTCATTGTTTGAGGTCTAGAAAGTGATTTTTGGGGGGCTTCGTTCAATTTGGTGCTATTCTGAACTCTGCATCGATCTGTGGAAAAAATGTTGAATAATGTTGAATAGCTTTTTCTTACGTAGAAATTTTGGTCCCAGCTCAAGCTATCCGTGGCATTGGCGTTTTTGAGGTAGACTGTAGTGAGGACGCATGTACTTATAGAACGTGCCCTGACTTCCTCTGTTTGGAGGCTCTTTGCAGGAAGACTGTTATTGAAGCTTTGTAGGCCTCCTCAGTCACAGCTGCAGCCAAACCGAGCACAGTCAAGTTCAGTCACAGACCTGTTGCACCGTGAGAGTTTACTCCTCGCTCGCGCACAAAACAGCATGTCATGCAGCATTCTGTTTGTCTAATAATTCAAGCAATGTCTTTGCCAACCTTAGGAGGGTGAAACAGTCGGTCATCCGACTAGAACAGTGGGTCATCCGAAAACCAAAGGCATCGAGTCCAGTGCACACCGAACTGGCTGTGGGTCAAAACCCGGGAGCCCGCTATAGCTAGTTGATGCGAGTTGACTCACAAATCAAAAACGAACACATGATTCAAGTGAACATGAGAACGAGTGACCACCAAACATTGTCAAGCTACGGTTGGCTAGGTATTGACCCACAGCCTGCCTGGCAGCGCTGAAAGACACTTCAGTTCGATTCACTGTCGCTGGAGGTTGCTTGTATATGGCTCAAGCGCAGGACCAGCTTCTCACTGGTGTCCTTGGATGGGCACATTCTTCACTTCTTCGGCAGAATAAAACAACAAAACATCACCTCGAAAGGTGGTCCCTAGATAGACAAACATTGAACATGGTGTGCAGCTCGTTTCATTCGAGAATTCTATGGAATTCTCAGGTATTCTCAGATTCTCTTGCTTATTAACACCTATATCAGGTCACCATGCAAAGAAAGCGGCGCAGCGACGATGGGGAAAGATCGACTGATGCTGTTGCTGCAGCTCTTCTTGACTCATCTGCATCAGCTTCTCCACACGATGAATGTCTGGGCCTCGGCTTCCGGCTTCACCTTTCCTTTCGCCGAAGCGAGCTCGGCGTTGGACGTTGGTCCTTTGAAGTCTGTGCGTTTTTTTCATCGTAACACATGCAGTACTTGGGAGGCCCGGAGTCAACCAAAGACAGCTACCAATGTCTGGGAACATCATACTGCCTCTGCAAGTGAGGGAGTGCTCAATGGATGCTTTTTAGACGAGTGGATACCCCCAAAAGTCGTCATTAATGATACCAGATACATCCTCATACCAAACTGTAACTGGGAGTAGGATTGCCCCTTGAAAGAAGTTCCTTTTCAGGAACGGAATATTCAATGGGGATTATCAATTGCAAAAGCTCACAGTTCATTTAAGCAGGTCAGGGGCTGGTTTTGGTCATGGCCTCATCATAGACCCCACCCAGAGGGAAAAGATAGACTGCCAGGAACTTCACCACGATGCCGCTGGCTGCCAGCAATGCAAGACTCGTCGTCACCTTTTCCGGACCAGGAACCGGTTGGAGCGGAACTCACCGGTCACTGCATTTGGGACCCAGGTGCGGTCACCAAACCGATTCAAAACGGAGACATGACACCATATGACCGTCAGGAGACTTTGGAGATTCTCAACCATCTGGCTTGGTCTGCAAAATAATCAACACCTTCAAACTCAAACAACAGGACTGGTATCAATGGCCAAAATTACCAAACCTTGAAGGGGATTGATCTTGAAGTCCCATTTACCTTCAGGCCCAAGAAGTTTCAAGATCAGATCTGGCACGAACTGACGGAGTATTTTGTATGTTTATTTGTCGCTTTTGCTGCTTCCAACCTCCTCCAAGAACTGGTTGAAGCTGAAGTGTGCAAGGGTGCCTCCGGGCTGGACCAGAAAATGAAGTCCATAGTCATCAATGATGATCTCTGTGTCCGCCCCAGTGTTACCTCACTGTGTGTATGAGACATAGCTTTGGAAGCGCTCAATGTGCACATTTATATATGACAAAATTCCACCAAAAGGGGCACCTGAACCAAATTCCTAGAAAAGTTTGAAAGCCTTCTCACAGATCCATGTGTCCAGGAAGCACTCTTTCCTTGCCAAACTCCGACCTGTTGGCTGGAATTGGCTTCAGAACGAAGAATGGCTCCTTCAAAAGGCCGTGGCCGTACCTGAGGACAGCGAGAAGGGGACGTGCAGAACATCGTTACCCGAATATATACCTGATGAAAAGATCGTCAGTCCCGCATACGTTGCTTGAGTTTCCATGGGAACGTTCATGCGCAAGAAAACATGTTTTGGGGGGAGCACGGAGTTCTATTGGATTGTGTTGGTGCCAAGGTTGGCTACTATTTGCAGGAGCTGACACAGGTTTGGCTTCACTATCTTTGGCAACAACAGTTTGGTAGGGGAAGGGTGCAATTCCTGTTGCCCACGAAACCATGCATCAATCTATCTGGCAAGTCATTAATTTGTCTGGTCACTTTCTTGCCTTGCCTTGGTTTGCTTCATTTTCCCCAGCTGGATGATTTGTTGGTCCATATGGACCTGCCAAAAGGCATCTCGCAGGACGCCTTTTTGCCGTGGCACCACGCTGCACCGTGGCACCACGTGGTCAAACCACGTGGGGCCATCGAACGACTCCGTTCACGACGTCAAACCATCGACCGTCCGACCGATCGTCGCGGATGTGTCTGGGAGTCGATTCGGAAAGGGATCTCTTCACAGTTTTCATTTGGCAACTTCAACCCTAGGCCCTAGTAAGAAGAAGCTACTAGAGGTGGAGGCCATCGCTATTAGGTTGGAGGCCATCGCTACGAACGGAGCAAGAAGCTACGTCACGTAGCTTAAAAGCCTTGAAGCCTCAAGCTGGCTTCAACGTCCGCTTTTACAGCCAAGACGTGTCTCTACGGCCACGCCATCACGTGCCATTGGTAAATCCAAAACATGTTTGACCAGTGCTCCATCCTCAAGGCTTCCCAAAGCATAGTTAAGTTCGTTTTGGCGGCTCATCTTGACTGCCATCCATCGCACCGAGCTACTCATAGCTATGAATGTCCATGAGCAGCATCACCACAAGGCCCCGATGACGAATGGTCTCATTGTGTGCCGCCCGATGAGTCTCCAGGCTTAGGCCCATGGCACGGAGCAGCGTGGAGATCTTGAAGATCTCATTGCCGTTGTGCATCAAATCAGCCTTGATGTAGCCTGGGTGGGTCGAATCAGGGAGACAGAGATGTCGAGAGTCGATGGTTGTAGCGCGGGTTCGTTGGTCGTTCAACACCGTTTTGGGCGTCTGGAGTCGTTTGATGCGTCGTTCGATCCGCATGCAGTTTGAATCCCTTGGCACCAATGATGATTATGTACCCAGTGAACATGCCCAGATGATCATGGAGCAAATCCTTGATCACTCGCTCAACAAACCCAGAGATGCCCCACGCCTGAGGATGTCTAAAACGAATTGGCGTGGTGCTGCCTACTCTTTGTTACAAACTATAGGATAAGAAACCCCAACCTTGTTAGTCTTTCTGGCTTATCCGATTTCAATGCACACTCCAAATGAAGGAAACGGCGCTTTTTTACCCTTCAACACATAGTTTCCACAAATTCTTAGCTAGTGGTTCCACAAAATTCCAAAAGGAGTCAGAAAGGGAAGGTTACGGTTGAAAGTTGCGTGCCCAAGGCTTGAAATTTGCTGGAGAATGGGGGTTCGCACTTGACATGTCTTGCCACAACGGCAGAAGGGTTTTGCATCAAACAAACGATCCGCAGGTGTTCACTGCTCAGATTCTCCCGCTGGGTATCGGGGGTGGACCTTTTGTTTGTCCATGCAAGGCCCACTCAGTGCTTGTTTCTTCGGCATTTACGGGTTCTGGGCCTATGAAGGTGGCCTATGGGTTGAAAACAAACACGAAAAAACGTTCAATCCAATGAAACGACTTTTGGGGACTTCGATGTTTCTAAGAACTCCCCCTCTCTGCTCTGAACTTTCGACACTGAACACCACATTTCAGACATTCCCACGCCCGCGCTCTCTCTCTCTCTCTCTCTGGCCGCTGTTTTTTTTTCCAAGTATCACTGCCATAAATCTATCCATAGGGGAAGGCATCAGCCGGCCCCACTGGAGAGATCACTCTGCTACCGAGTGCTTAGGAATTTAGATTCACCTGGCCTGCCTACCTGAAAATCAAGCAAGATACCCGCCAACTTGAACATACTTGAACGCCTTAACAAAGTTCAGAGGCGAAACTGCGTTTGCCGGTTATATAATCATAATTAATTACATATACTCACACTACTCTTGGGATGCTGGTGATCCCAAACAACTCAGTCCACTCCAGCCGTCGCCGTCCCAAACGTCCGCACGGCCCTGCTCCCCTGCTCCAGGTCACAGGGCGCATGGTCCGTGACTCTTCCCGCGAGATTGGATGGAGTGTCCAAGGCTTCGCCTTGGAGAGATCTTTCTCGACAAAGCTCATGTTGGAGATCGTTCGCTTCGCCCATCGATCCCACCTGAGAAAATCCCAGGGATAGATCGATCAGAGGTGATCAGGATCGATGGGCGTTTTAGGCAAGGGGAGGATGCATGATGAACCTTTTCAAGGATTTTCAAGGTGGGAGATAGGTGGTTTGTTGGGTTTCAACCAATGGCCTATTGTGAGACACATGTACTCATGTACCTGGCACCCTTTTCAAAAGGAGGGCAAGCTGCGGCAAGCGTTCAACACGACCTCACGGCCAGCACGATCCACTTCAGTGAGATTGGAAAGCCAACATACAATGATTGCCCAAGTGCTGATGAAAGAAACGTTGTGCAACCTCGGCTGTACCAGTAGAAATTTCTGTTACAAGTTGCATGTCCTGGTGTTCAAATTGGGTTTACAGGGTGGTCATCCAGGTTGGTGGCTAGTTTACCTTGTCCTTGCATGTTCTGTCACAACCACAAGTTACAGGGTTCCTCTTTCAAACCTGGAAGCCTTGATATCCACCTTCTTGCCTTGCGAACCTAGCATTGCCCAAGCGAACCTAGCTTGCGCCCCTGAGGTGGCGTGCCGCAGGTCAACAGCTCTTGCCGTGACCCCACGTATGTTGGACACATGGGAAGAAGGCTGAATGTAGACGTTTCATCACCCCTGCCAGCATTGCAAAAACCTCTGCATGTGGCATGTCGGAGGTTTTTTCTTCATACACCGTTTTACCATTACACTTGAAGCATGTTCCGTATCTTTCGTTGAGACGAACACCCGAGTGGAAAGACAAGACGACGCCCGGAGACTGAGAACCCATCGATTCTTACTACAACTGATGGTATGTGAAATTTTAACTTTTACCAAGTCATTCCGTGTTGTCTCAGATTGGTACAACTTTCACAAGTGACATCTCCGGCAGCCCTGTCTTTTTGTTGGGGAGGTGCGGGGTCATGCCCCGCAAAAAAGGAAAAACACTCGTGTCCGGTCCACCTCGAGATGGCCACGCATGGCGTTCCCCGGCATCACCTGGGTCTCATGTACCGGCTCTTTGGCGATACTGAAGACCGTGGGCTCCAAGAGCAAGGTGAAACTCTCGAGGTCCGCCACAAACCTCGGAGGATCCAAAAATGCAAGTGATGATCTGATCTGGTTGATGCCCTACATATAGATGCCTACTCTATATATATAATATAGGACCAGATAGGACGTTGATCGATCTTGATCTCCCTGCACCCACTCCCTGCACCAATGGAAATCAATCTCACAATCATTCAAAGGAGTGTCAATTGATGTCTTACACTCATTGTCATTCCATTTCTCAATTGCCCGGCTCAGTGAGCAGCCGAATCTCACTTCCAGCGACCCAAAACCTCACCCCGACGTCCCAACGACCCATTCGCACCGACCCATTCGCACCGTCCGAACGATGCGAAGGAGTTGTGACCGAAGGAGTTGATGTACTGTGATAGGTTGGATCGGTTGGATAGGTTGCTCTGGAAAGCCGTGGAATCGGCTTCCCCAATGTTGGCCCCCCCATGTTTTGACAGGTTCCTCAAGTCGGAAAAGCAGTTTTTTAGAATCCAAATTCAAAATCATTCCAACATCCCTTGTGAATGATGGCCCCAAACTGGCATTTGATAGCGTATCATTCATGGGGGATGACTCAAACAATCATGGACGCACCGTCGGCTTCCCATCCAAAGGCAAAACCTACCGCAGTCGAAGCAACTCGTCTTGGTCCATGACTTCGGATCTGATGCGCCTCGAAAAACATCAGATCTTGGCGGGCCAAAAGGCACACATTTTGCGTTGGAAGATCCATGTATGAGTGCATCAACTGGAACTTCGGACATACCAGTCGGGACTGGAAGATGCGACATCAAAAGATCCAGGTGTGTCGCATCCAGGTGAGTCGGTATTTTGAGTTGGCATCTTCAACTGGAATCCTGCAACTCGCGACTTTTTATGTCGGGACTTTTATGTCGGGGAAGCCAACTCGCGGGGAAGAGGTAGGAGTTCGAGGTAGTTGGGAGCAATGGTTGGCCCAGGGATCCATTGGGAGGATAGTTGATGATCTCTTTAGTCCAAAAACGCTCTGGAAAATATAGTTGAAACATGTTGAAACTACCTGAAATTTTGCTTGTTTGGGAGCTCTTCGCACATATGGTCTGAAGTTGGGTTGGTTGGTTGACAACAAGGGGCCCTAAGAAACACCCTTACGGAATTGTCCATCCAGGTGAGTTCAGTTGCATAGGCTCAAGCTTCGAGGCAATCAACCAACCAGAAAAATCCGCACTCAGCTGCTAGATAACCAGCTTAAGCGTTAGCTTGGGGGGGTGGCCCTAGCTTAGGTCTAGAAACGTGAGTGGTTTAGTTTTTTTTATTGATAAAGATTGATATCGTGTGTATGACTGTCCGTATGGCTTCGGATGTAAATGTTAGCGATGCCAGTTGTGCAGCCCGGGGGACAGACAGACTGGCGAAGCGGTGTGAATAAATTTGCATCTCCAGGAACACCACGAATAAGTAAATATCTGCAACGAACAAGTTCTTGACTAAAGGCTGCAAGATTCTTCTTACATGCATGAAAAAACATGTGTTTTTTTGCACTAACATATGTGCGATTGTCATGTCATAAGTCGGATTGAGCAAACAAAATCATCCCTACCTCCTCCCTGCTAATCGGCCTCTCTGATTCTATACATCCTTATGATTCAGCCCATCTGGTTCGGCAGTTCATTCGGCGGGTTCCGCACTTCACGGTTCTTGGGATGCGGATTCCACGACCTGTCTGGGACTGGCATATTGAAACCCTACATTGACAACGGAAATTCCACCACCCCATTGCCATATAGTGGGTAAATATGACATACATGGAGTGTCTGGGATTGAAAACACCACCTTTCCGTGGGCGATCCATGATCCGGCGTGATCCGGCGGTGATCCGCCGCCGCTGCGAGGAGTGAAGTGGTGTTCCGTGCGCCTACGGGTCACCACCGTCAAGGCTTCCTCGCTGGAATGAAGCACAGACTGTCCCTTGTAGCGCCGGCATGCCAGCTGCTCTGGGCCACAGGTTGAGCTCACGCTTGTTTGAATGCAGCAGTAGGGGAGCTCCTCGAAGGGCGTGGCCTGAGGAGGATTTGGATTGATGATTGGAACGAAAATGAAGCTTCTCCAGAAGGTCTTTCTCATCATTCTTTCATTGGAGGGCCTAAATCATACCATATTAGTACCAGTACATGAACCTTCAGTTTAAATACTGCTCGCTCAACTCCAGGTCAGCGTCACTTCCGGAGCTGAGCTCGAAATCTCGCCTGGTGTGGAGCTCTTAAAGTCGTCCTCATGGAGAGCTCGATATCAGGCTTCACCAAGTATCTGCATTGATAAATGATCTGGAAGCCCATGACCTTGGACTGGGACCAACACCCAGACTGGTGATCTTACTCCTTCATCTTAGGTGGCCTTAAACAGAAGGCATGTCTGCAGGCCGTCATCTGATTGTTCTGGAGCAAGTGAACCACCAGTGGTTGAAGTCACCACGTTAACCAGAAAAGCGAATGGGTACAATTATCAAAACCCGGGATGCAAACACAAACCCAAGTGAACAAGGGACTTGAGACAATTAACATATGCAAAAAGACTAAAAAAACACAATTAATACGATTTAAAAGGGTCCGGGTACTGTATAGTATAATAATCAATGCAAGCCAAACGAAGTGATGTCCCTATATCGCTACATCAACGATCTGTCATACGTCACACACAGGAAAGAGCGGGATGTTGAACACTTGGATCATGGTGTTGGCCATTAAACCAAGGAGAGGACAATCAACAGCCGACCTATGATGCTTGGAACATGCAAAACACATACTTCGCCATGTCAAACAGCACAACCTGTTCTCTGTACATCCCTATACTGTACCTTGACACTCCAACCTGTTCTGGATACGATAGAAGACCCCAAAACTGCTCCATCGGGCTCCACGTGGCATAAACGAAAATCCCGATCATCAGCGCATAGTTCAGCATCCCCAGGCGACAGTCCTTGACCACCGCCTGGAGCGGCACCCGATATGCAAAGAGCTCATTTAAGGTCAGCCCACAAACGCGGAACCGCATCGCGGCACCGTGCGTGACCGGCACCGTGGTCCGTGCGTGACCACCCGGCACACCCGCTGAGCCCAAATGGCGATCAGCGAACGAACGGTGTTCGGGAAAAACGAACGGGAACCAGTACGTGGTGGGTATCAACCAGGATGGTGACGAATGTCAACGAAGCGGAAGCATTGGCGAAATGTATACCTTTCCCCAAACTCACCCTCAACTCTATTGTTGTTGCCTGAGGTTCCCACCTTTCCCAACCCGCATTCAAATCTTATCATCGTCCGGACACCTTGCTTGTGCACAGCTTTGCCAGGGATTGTTCATCATGAGAATCACGGCAAAGAAACAATAGAAACTTGAGATTCTCTGCCTCTTGATATCCACCAGGAAGGGTTCCCTCCAGCTCACATGCAGCCAGCAAGTCCTCAAGCAAAACCTTGCAAATGTTCTAGGGCTAGGGCGTAGGGCCTAACCCTCATTGAAGTGCATGGTTTGTGCCAAAGTAGGCACAACCTCTTAAATTGGATGAAAACACGGAGCGACAAGAATGAACCAACTGGACGCCCTGGGAAGGCGGCAGTGGCAATGCTGCCCTCGTTCGCGGTGCACCAGATGGGTCACGCCGTCACGCTTCAGTTGAGTCAACAGAATCCGTCACAGAAGACTTCCAAGACAAACAAAGGGACTGTGGTTCTTTGTTCTCTTCCAAGACTTCAAGTCACTTGAAACGTGACTTACTACCGTATTACAGTCAGTGGCTTCAAGTCATCCCAAGCCGAAGCCAAAAAACAAGTTGAAACCAACCACCAAAACTGAGGTGATCGACTGTTCACCCAAGGCCCCGTGCGAAGAGCACGGCCGAGGGCGGTGTCCAGACTTAGAACATGTCAAGGACCAGTTTCATGCAGCAGTAGGGGTGTTGGGGTAGCGGCACCAGGTGCAGAGAAGATGGGTGTTTACTTGACTCTCTTTGGACATTTCACACATACAAGTACATCGCAATCATCAAAAATCGGTGATCTCTATCATATTGGTGATGCTTGAGTTCTCCCCCAAAACACCTGGCCACCGGAATGCAAACTCTTGATTACCAAAAATATCCTCGCATAGCACATGGTTATACAATCCAAATGGAATAATATATTACAATATCAATTACAGTACACATTATCAATACCGAATCTGCATTCACTTGACCTAAGGACCCGGAGTCCGCGGTCACCACATGGAAAACGGCGAGCCGAGCAGAGGCTGGCCGAAGTGGATGGCATGGTCCCGAGTTCATGATTTCAGGGAGTGTATTGAATGATGGACCAATTGAAATCCATCTAAACGCTTTAAACCAACCGGGGACGGGGTGAATTAAACCGACCCGCACCATAGTGCCAGTGATTTTCTCCAATCCTCATACCTGCAACCTCGTGGTTGCTTTTCTTGGTCGGTAGTTCAACAAACCTCTATGTAGGTATATGAACCACACAAACATCCGCAACCGAAATAAACGCCCGCAAAAAAACAACACGTTCGCACCAATAAATGCCTGTAGCTCGTGTACTTATAAACGCCCATGGAATATCATACAATTCAGAAAACTAGAGAAACATCTGCAGACTCGAATAAAAGGGTGTGACTCCAAAAATTTGTGCTCACGCTGCGGATATAAAACACTGACTGAGAGGTATACACCAAAGGTGCTATCCTACCCAATGGATTTTCGACCCCACACCCCTATACGTCAGACCTGGCATCAGCACATTCCCCCAAGAAAACCCTCTAATTTTTTTGAACTGCTTCGATCCCACCGCGTTTAAACCCAGCCATGTGGCATCAACTGTGGTTGCTCCAGGACATCTTCCGGGATATGGCATCCGACCTGAAGCGCTGATCGCGTCCGTGGCATCGAGTTCGGAGTCCGTGAGCGTTTTCGTTAAAGAAAATCGAACAGTCCAACCAGCCCATCCGGGATCCGTTGTCGTACCGAAGCTCAGGTTCGGTACGACTGGACCCGACAATGGCAACCTACGTTACATAACAGTGACTCCTTCCTCACCGTACCTGAGAAGGTACTTGGATCCCTAGGGCAGTGAAGATTCACCAGATTCCGGAAAAGCCTGATTAATCCTTGCGTATATATGGAGATAACTACTCCCACACATCGAGGACACAACATGAAAAAGCGATCATAAAATTACAGTAACCACTCTATACTGTAGTAGAACCCATTGATTGGGAGGTCTTTCTATTTTTGTACGCACCGACACCTCTATCTCTGGAAGATCTCTATACGGCGGATTGATGGTCGAGGTGTGTTCTGTCATACCAGGGCACTACCACAGGTGCTGCGCAGCAACTTTTAGAAATGGCGCTCCAAACTAATCAGCAGCTAGAAAGACAAATGGTCTTTCTACCATGTTTATATATGAACTATAAAATATCTGGTTGATAATTTAGGCTTGGATTCCTGGTGAACATCCAGTGCTTCAGTCATATGACATCTACTTCAGTCGACCTGTGCTTCAGGCACGACCTCTCAGCGAACTGAGGCAGCAGGCCAGATGCAAGCTCACGCGATCCGTAAAGTGATTGCAGTTGTTCCGCGCCGCATCATAGGCCTGGTGATGCCCGGTGACGCCCACGGTGGCGACCGACCGCAGATATACAACCGGTTAGTACGTGGTCGGAAAAGACGAGGTAGCATGCACCAGTACACGATGCAGTGGTCTTGGAAGTCCGAATCATGGTGTCCGCAAAGTAGATTGCTTCTCAAACGGATAGATTGGGTCCACCAGCATGTCCACCCGCACTTCCCTCAAAGCCGCAAATGCAAACTCTTGACACCTTGGGAGATTCATCTAGTTACATCGATACTTAAGCCGTGGGGAGATGTTCATGTTCACAGCGAGGTCAATTGCGTCCAACTGCCGCATGAGCATCAAATGCATGACTTTGACTGTAGGGCCCTCCTCACCAGCCCAGATTGGTCCAAAATGGGGAGCTGCAAGGAGTAAGGCTTTGAGGACTTCTGCCATACCTCTTGACTTGCTGCAACACACATCTCTGTTCAGCCTCGCGGTTGAAAACAGGCTTCAACTCATCAACAATGAACCTCAGAGATTGATTGGCGGTTGACTTGAGCTTCAGAACTCTGCACAACCCACAAGAATAGTACCTCAATCAGACTATGGAATCACAATGACTCACAACAATGGACTCCCAGCCCCATGGGATTTCATTTTAGGCCCCTTCTACCATGGTGTCTTGGGCGGCTAGGTCGCTGGTGACAAAGAAAGCGTATTATGGTGAGGCTCTAGGCAGTACGCGTTGATGGCCTGAATTCAAAGCGCTCTCACAAACCCACCACTCGGGTGGAAAGGCTTGTAGCTCCCCGAAGCTGTAATTCTTTGTGCCCATGAGGCAAATCCCCCTTCGCCATCAAGCAGAACTACGTGATTCACCATTGGTCATACTAGTAACAAGTTCAATTACAATTGATTTAATGTTGCAAGCTTACTCGCTTGTCAGCCACGAAACAAGAAGTTCCTCTACAAACTATAAACACCACCCTCCGCCAGGGTCAACCATCAGCAAAGCGCTTTTCTTGTTGTCTTAAAATCCACTGTACCAAAGGCACTATACCCCAAGGACAACAAACTTTTGCAGAACCAAAACCTCAGGTTGGAAAACTGCCGCTGTGTTCACCACCGTAAAAGCACCGGATGTTCCTTAGGGGTTCTTCCGGTCATCCACGGTGACGCCGAACACGCACGCCATCACGATGACGTCTGCCGGGTGACGCGTGTAGCTCGTCTCGCTGGCGTAAGGTGGTGCCCAAAGGGATCACCACCCTGAGATCAGCACGACAGTTGGAGAGCCCAAACAACAAAATGTCAATCATTCCATTGCATTTCATGCTTTTTGTTAGTTTTGTGTTTTTTAACAGTAATGATTGTTTCTTTCGGTGCCATTTCTGAAGGTTTCAATCATGATTTTCCAAAGAATTCTGGAGATTATGATGCAGAAGCGACTATAAATGTAATCCAGGATGAACCACGTCTGTCAACCTGGTTCTGTGCAAAAGGTGCCTGCGCCCCCAAACAGGTATGGGCACTCGCAAAATGTTTTTGCAAATTATATGTATTATAGAAGAAGTACTTTCATACGGAACCTTCAGGGATCTTTGCCTGCAGGTCCATATGCAATTCAATTTTCGCTCGAAGACTTGCATACCGGCCAACAACAAACGATTCTCAATTCTAGGGATTCCTCATCCCAGGAACATGCTCGATACTGTTCGATCCACCAAGCATTAACCCTTAACTACCCTTTAAGTTCTTGTGCAGGAGCAGTTGTTCCAATGTCTTTTTGCACGCTGCTTTCAAAAGGTCGAGAAGTTCAGTCAACTGGGCTTGATCAGAAAACGGGGAAGCAACAAACATCAAGACTTTGCTTTGTCCAGCTTTCGGGGCCCACCGCACTGTCTTTGTCAACAACTCCTGGAATCAAGCAGGTTGCACTTCCCCAAACATGCGCAACCTTCCACGCGGACCATTGACTGGAACCAAAAACCAATGATGAAGCTTTGTTCATGCTGTTGTCTGGCGTATTAAATTCGAGGGCCGCCAAAACTGTGTTGTCTTGAGTGTAGGTCTTGTGGTTGTTCAAGCGTTCCAGGGACATCTGCCAATCGACGTTGATCTGTGCATACTTCAGGGGAACATCGGAGTAGAAACAGCGTCCTTCCTGGGACCACAACATATCCAGCACAGTTTCGACGTCAAGCTCAAAGTCTCCGTGCCATTTGCCATGTTTGTGCCTGCTCCGCGCGCTTCCTAACAATTCCTGGATGTGACCACGCAAAGTCATGCGACGTGCCAATCTGTAAGCGCTGTGACATTGCTTGCAATATGCCTGGAATCCGGATGACCTTGTTCTGTGCAAGGAGAAATTCACGTTGGGCTTCCAATGCTCACAGTGTGAACACCTAACAAGCTCAGGAGCCCTCTCAAGCCGACAGG